CACATTGGAACTAACAAGTCATTGACAGCAATCATGAAAGCGTAGTTCCTTGTTTCAGAGCTTGTTATCGTCCTTTGTCACCTTTACAGTGCAACCAAAACATATGGCCAAAGGATGCAGAGGAGCATCTATGATTCCTCACAGGACAGAAGCTTCCCCTCGGCATAGCCCATGGTACTAGCAGAGGGACAAGTGCCCGTGACTATTTAGAATTCAAGAGGTTGAATTAAGTTGCCCGTAAATGAATACATGATAATAATAGTAATACTGATGGTTTCCGAAGTGGCTTTTCACATGTTCTAAGGCTTTGCATTTCTTATCTCATTTAAACCTCACACCCACTGCATGGATACTAGCTCCCATAAAACTTAGGGTTAAAGAATTTAAATACTTTGCTCTAAGTCAAAGAGCTACAGATGGTGATGCATGGATTTAAACTCAGTTCTGTGAAGAAATCAACTTTCACATTCTTTAGTGAGGACTAAAGAACACTAAAAAGTGGGAAGCAGTTAAATGCTATTACCTTACAAATACCTCTGCCATTATTTGCACCAAAGGTGGTGCTATCATAACTAAGATTAGAGTTCTTGAAAAAGTTGTTGATATGAATATGAAGGTAATTACTGCTTCCTGATATTCTGCAAAGAACCTACCTAACTACTTCCTCAGTGGGGCTGGATATATGCTTATAAAACAAAGATCAACGGAATCAATCAGCTATGTGTTCACTGAACATTTACCACCTGTTTCCTTCTCAGAATCAATTACCTTGGATACAAAAGAAGCACAGGGACCAGCAGTTAGCATAATGGCTATGTTGCTAGACTCCCATGTAGTCAACCGTGGTTCGTGTCCCGGACCTGGTGGCTTAAAACTCACACTGGGTGCATGTGCGTGCGTACCCAAGATCCTGAGAGGAGAATGGAAGAGAAGGGATTGTGGCGTGGCCATCCCCCCTGGGGGGTGATTTCTCACTTTCTGTCTCTCTGTCTTTCTCTGTCTGGCGAGCGCATGTGCCCTACAGCATAAACCTCTCAAAAAAAAAAAAAAATGAAAAAAAGAAGCACACATCCAGTCCAGCTTGATATCCTAAGGACTGATCTTCCTCTTTTTTTCTCTATGATTAATATTTCATTTGTGCTTTTTATGATGTATGAGTTCTTAAACAAATAAAATGGTAAATAATACATTCACTTACATTTAAATTAAAATGATCATATTAGCCTCTAAAACTCACTGAGTTACCTTTCATTCCTCTCTCTCTTAAAATTCATCTGCCCCTCTTGAGTAAATGGCAGTTGTAATGTGTCATGTTAAGGTATTCGGTATTCATTAGCTTTCTGATCTTGGTGATTTTAATAGTGTTGAAAAGAATCTACACAGAAGTTTATTAGCCTGCTCTCTAACATGTGTGTTTGATCTCTCTTCTGACTTGAAAAAAAAAGAAAAAGAAATTTGCATTAAATATAGTTCTTTGAATGTCAAATGGGTATATGATTTTTGAGCTTGCCAAGTGTTAATTGGGCTCTTCCCCAGTGATGATACAAATAAAATTCGCAGCCAATTAATTGCAGTCATGAATCTTTACTCCTTGACAAAATGAACTACTTTGTTGAAGGGACTGTAAAAAGGAAATTACTAGGATCTCCTCGCTGAAAGTCTTGCAGAGATCAGTTACTTTAGAAATGCTTTGAGTAAAAATGAGGCTATGAATATCCAGGCTGTGATGGTGCAGGCAGAAGGGCACCACTGCACCATACTGCAGCCATATTGGAAGACCTGGGTCAGAACGTAAGGATCCCAGCCAACTTAAACATGTTGTGTACAACTGGGGGCACACTCATGATATTGGCTGACTTTGGGGTATGAGGAGAATTATGGGATGATAGTGTTCTGTCCAGGGTCCCCTGCCCCTGAAAGAAAGAAGAAAACTTGGACCAATATTGGCATGGCGGTTAAGGTGCCAGACTCTCACATGGCTGACCATGGTTTGAGTCTCACATCTACTTTCTCACTTCCCTCCTCTTTCTCTGTTTCTCTCTGGTGAGTCCAAGTACCCTAGAGTAAATTTAAAAATAATAATGATAATAATAAGTAAAATTAAATAAATCATTCTTTAAAAAAAGAAATAAGAAACGTCTATGGATAACTATGTAACTCAGCATATATTTTGGAATTTAAGGTGGCATAATGGAGATTTCCATTACAATTTAAGAAAATACAATTATAGAGACAGATGTGCTACTGTGACTACCAAAATGAAATACTGAATAGAGTTTCCTCCTTTATTTTTTAATTTTTATTTTAATTTATGTTAAAATTATTTATTTTTATTTTATGCATTTAATCACTATACGTCACTTAGCTTGTGAAGTGAATTTTCCCAGCATGAATACACTTCACATCAGTCCCAGTTGAGGATACTATACACGTTATCAACAGTTAATAATCCATTTCTGTGTCCCATAGATGTCTTGCTTCTCTAGTTTTTTCCTTAATTTCTTTCCTCACACTCTCCCCCTCCCCCAAACCTCTTCCCACACTGTGTCTAGTATCCCTAACCATTTTCCATGCTTCTATATCCTCTAATCTTTCAGTTTCTGCCATAGAGTGTGGACAGCCGGTGGATACATACAATGTTTCTCTTCAATAGCCTGGCTTGCTGTACTCTGCAGTAAATCTTCCGCATTCACCCATTTTCTATCAAAAGTCAGGGGTTTTGCTGTTTTTTAACCTCCCATTCTACTTAAGTTATTTTTAAAGAGTTTCCTCCTTTCTAGTCACACCACCAATCCTACTGTGCCTCAGTGCTAGGAGGTCAGGTGTTGGTGTTGGATGAAATAGCTACAGTCATGTGAAACCTCTGATCAGTGCAACAAAGTGCTCTGGGACACCAGTTACAAGGCAAAACAGCCATAGTCTCTCAAAATAAAAAAAAAGAACTGTCACTAAAATTTCTTTTGAGTCACTACACTGATGGAAAGAGATGTGGAAGGCTGTAATAGAAAAGTGGGATCATTTGGTTAGGGTCCTGTCTGAATTTTCAATTAACACATTAGTATTATTAATTTGGAAAGAGCAATCAGATGTTTTGTTTTGTTTTTTTTTTTTTGTTTTGTTTTATTTTGTTTGTTTGTTTGTTTTTTAATGGGATCAGCCAACTCCCACCTTTGTTTCAGGCTTCAAATGACTTAAAACTACTACAAATAAAATAGTGAAGGCATTGTTAATCATTGATCACTTTCTGGAGAATGTTGTAAGATTGAATAGTATTTTTCAATTTCATAGATTAGACAACATTTCAGGGTTTACTTTTATAAAAAGTCAGCCCACCCATATACATCAGACTCATATTCAGGTACACAGTATGACAACTGAAATATGCCTCTTTGCATATGTGCAATAAAAAGTAAACAGTGTAAGTGATTCAGTGTGGTTGGAGGCTAACAAGACCACCAAACAAATTGGCAGCTATTTCACTTGTCAAACTTAGGGGTGGCTGGGTTTGTAGTCTCCTGGATCAGCCAGGGCCATAATGTTGGATACTCTCAAGGATGGTTCCTATTTATGTAAGAGGTGAGTTTTTTTTAGAAGTTTAGGATGATTTGCTAACAAATGAAAGACACAGCATTAGTTATTGTCAATAGTATGCTCTAAGATGATGCAAACATCTCCAAGAGAGTATGCAACCTCTCGTGGGTCTTGGAAGCCTAGGTTTTGTTTTTTTTTTTTTGTTTTGTTTTATTTTGTTTGTTTGTTTGTTTTTTAATGGGATCAGCCAACTCCCACCTTTGTTTCAGGCTTCAAATGACTTAAAACTACTACAAATAAAATAGTGAAGGCATTGTTAATCATTGATCACTTTCTGGAGAATGTTGTAAGATTGAATAGTATTTTTCAATTTCATAGATTAGACAACATTTCAGGGTTTACTTTTATAAAAAGTCAGCCCACCCATATACATCAGACTCATATTCAGGTACACAGTATGACAACTGAAATATGCCTCTTTGCATATGTGCAATAAAAAGTAAACAGTGTAAGTGATTCAGTGTGGTTGGAGGCTAACAAGACCACCAAACAAATTGGCAGCTATTTCACTTGTCAAACTTAGGGGTGGCTGGGTTTGTAGTCTCCTGGATCAGCCAGGGCCATAATGTTGGATACTCTCAAGGATGGTTCCTATTTATGTAAGAGGTGAGTTTTTTTTAGAAGTTTAGGATGATTTGCTAACAAATGAAAGACACAGCATTAGTTATTGTCAATAGTATGCTCTAAGATGATGCAAACATCTCCAAGAGAGTATGCAACCTCTCGTGGGTCTTGGAAGCCTAGCCCCTAGAGACAGGCATTTTCAAGTCCACCGTTTATCTGGAACTCATGAAAAGTCATGGAATGAACCCGATTCACTACACTGTGTTAGTGATCGATAGGCTTTGTTTTAGCAGAAATTTAAAAATTAAAATGGAAGGTTCTGATGGAAAGCTTCTAGGATGAAATGAACTGACCCTTAGTATTCTTCAAACATGTTTTTATTCATGCTTTGTGGAAGTAGCATTTAGGTATGTCCAAGAATATATAATGGAACAGGAAATGCACATGTAGGTACACCAGCTCACAGACACAGAGAAACACATAAACCTTAACACTTACAGCTTTTGCACATTATCAAGAACAATAAGAACACTGATAGTGCATTATTAAGCCATATAGTCTATAAGTGCCGGATAAAATAGAGCAGTGTCCCTGATGCTTTTTGAAAGAGAATGATAAAATTAAACCAAGCTGCCTGTGGCTTTGTCCAGTGGGGCATTCTAATTGACTCCTAAGTCATTAATCAGTTCCCAATCAATCTATTTTGCCAGCAGCAAGCAGTTAGGACTCCATTACCAACCATTCATCATGCCATAGCCTAATTCACTGCACCATTAGCCGTGGATTAGGCCCCTGCTAGAATAACTAAGCACCACTGCTAAATGCCAAGAATTTTTGTTACTCACTTCAGCCACTGGGATTCCTTCAGGTGGTCGACACTGGAGTAAGACTTCTTGTTCTAAGGATACTTCCTTTCCCAAGGGTTCCTGCTCAAATGTCTTCCGTAGATCTGGAAAGCACAGGTGATGAAATACATATCAAAGCTAAATACATTGATTCATTTTGAAAAAATACAAAATTATTTTCCTGATTTTGTATTTTATGTGTGTTTGGATTTTTTATTTTGGTCACACATTGTTAGTGTTGTACCATGATCTGGGTGATCATACTTGAGGGGAGAAATTATGAAATGTAGAGGCTGTGAACTGAACCTCCTTTAAGCCTCAATAGAAACCTTTGGAAATCCTCATTTCAACAATTAGTGAAAGTCGTTAATTGCATTTCTTGAGTATTTCCTGATAATCCGCTATGATCAAAAGAACTGCATTCTCTCTCTGGGAACAGTGTCTCCAGGTGCTCAGAATAGTCTGGTGTCTGACGTACTGGTGTAGGCTTTTCTACAGTACAGCCTCCAGCAAAACTAGGCTGTCCTGAACCCCTGGTAATAGGATTGTTTATACCAAAAAGGTTAGGAAAGGACCAAAATCTGCATGTGGCGTGTTCCCAGGGGAAGACCTTGAGGGGTTCATGCTTCAAGACCAAAAGTTCTCATGACATTGTCTAAAACCCAGAAACACGTTAGCAGGGCCTGGGGGGACTCTGCGTGGGCTGAATGTGTCTTGCTCAGATCAAACTGCTTTCCTTATTGAGCAGCAGTGAAAGTGTTGAAGGCACAGAGTCAGAAAGCTACCTTAAAAAAACGAAGGTTTTTAGAGTAATTAAAAAAACAAAAGATTAAAAAAAATTCTTATGATGCCTAAACAGAATTCCTTATGTATATATTTTCCTCTTTTTGTACAATATATGCTATTAAAGTTGTCCTCCGGAATCTTTTGATTAATAACTCAGTATCAGAGTGGAAAAAAGAATGCTAGAGTTCTAAAAGAATGAAAATAGCCCTAGCTTGGTGCTACTTTATAGTATGTTCATTCTACACACTGAGGTTTATGCCTAAAGTCAGACTTGTGTTCATATGTATATATCAGCTGGGCTTGCTATTGAAAATATTTATATTAATTAAGATATTTAGTGAAACAACAATTTTTTTTGGGAAAAGGCATAGAAAGCAACAATAGATACCCGAGACAGTGTGGGAGGAGGGTGGGAGATGGCAGAGGGTGAGAGACAGGGAATCAAGGAGGGGAAAAAGGCAAAATATACAGGAAACAAGAAATGAAAAATTATTTGTTGACAATAACACATATGTTGACGTGCTTGATTGAGCCAATACACTGTGTATTCTGGATGGAAAAATCTCATTTTGCATGCTGTAATGATATACAGTGAATGAATGTAAATTAAAAAAAAGAGAGAAAAAGGCACACAAAAAAGAATGAAAATAATTTCTTGAAGTGTCTCAAAAACAAGGCAGGGGAAAAATATCCACTGAGAATAGTCTAGGAACATCTCTATATCTAATCATGTACCCATTCTTCAATTCGATAATGGAAAGGTCATTTCTGCTCAAATACTCCAAGTTGTTATTGGTGTAGTATGTCTTTATATAGGTGCAGTTGCTATGGCAACGTGCAGCAGAGTTCTAGACACTGCACAGAGGGACATAAAAGTTCTAGAAACCACTTGCCATTTTAAACACACAAGAGCCACATCCTTCAAGAGATAGGTTTAACTAAATCATCTCTGAATTTCATATAACTGTTCTGTCTTAATGCTTGGGCTCTAAAACTTATATACATTTTTATCTAATTTCTAAAATTAAAAAGTTATTCATTCACAGAGTCTCAAAGCAGTGTTTTTTTTATCAAAGAAAACCCACAAAATTTTTATTTTGTACATGTACAGTTCAGTTCCTTCCAATAAAAAGTTATTGGAATTTCATCCAGTGGATTTCAATAAAATATTAATGCCTCTGTCCTTTCATCCTCCATCCCTGGCAAAGGCATGAGGATCTGAAAGCACCATTTCTGCCTGCAAACACTCTAGAGGTAGATCCCACCAGAAAACACCACCTGGAAAAATGCACTAAGAAAAAAATACATGGTTACACATTCATCGGTTTGTTGAATTTCTTGGCAGAAGAAAATCTTCAAGGCTATAGAGGTTGTGAGAAAATTAGAAATCTGTGGGGGTCCATTCTGTAAATGACAGAATTCAGAGGGGCACTTCCAATGTGATTTTCAAAAACCTAAGTATATTGTAGGGCCGGTTCTACAGCGCAGTGGGTAAGGACTGTGTACTGGAAGCTGGATCCCATGTGGTTGATTGTGGTCTGAATCCCAGTCCTAGTGGCCTAAAAAACATACTGGGTGCATGTGTGTGCATGCCCCAAAACCTGACTGGATGGAGAAAATGAGGAAAAAGCACTGTAGCATGACCATGCCTCATGAGGGAAAGTTTGGGGCTTTCTCTCTCTCTGTAGTGAGTGAGAGTGTATCTGTAGTGATTTTCTCCCTGAGGCAATTAAAAAAAAAGCAGAAAAATATTTTAAAAATCAGAGTATTGGGTTATCAGCCAAGTCATCAAGTCATGAGGTTATAAATATATATATATATATATATATATATATATATAGTCGACTATGTGGGAGTCCAGTGATGTACCCATTACACCATTTGCTGGTCCCAGTGAGATATTTTTTCTGTGTAAAAATGTGCCATGACTTTTCCAACAACCCAATATACTATAGACATGAACATTGAGAATCTACAGAGTCACCAGAACTTGGGTGACATCTAAGTCATGTCCTAATTTTATATGACAAACATGTTTGACAAATAACCGAAAGCCCTGCCATGAAGTAACAGTGCTGCACTGGAACTGGCTGGCATGACTCCATACAGCAAGCCATCCCACGTGTCCCTCTCACTTCATTTTGTTTGCTCTGGGTCTTTCCAACGAAAACATTAAAAACTTTCTGATATGGCAGTTTCTCTTTGTTTTTAATCTGTACTTTGATAAAAATTTTGGCAAAACACCAGATACCAAGAAAAAGAATAGCAATGAATAACTATTCTGAAATAAAATGTTTTTGACAAGATATATCTTGTTTATAAAAAAATGAGTCTGGGGACCAGAAGATGATGTAATGGTTATGTCACTGGCCTCCTATGTAGTCAACAACAGTTCGAGTCCCGGACCCGGCAACTTAAAACTCAATGCCAGGAATGTATGCGTGTGTGCCAAAGATCCTGAGAGGAGACTGAAGGAGAAGGCATTGTGGTATGGCCATCCCCCTGGGGGATGATTTCTCTCACTTTCTTTCTCTCTGTCTCTCTCTGTCTTTCCAGGAAGTGCACATGCCCTATAGCAAAAACAACAACAACAACAACAACAAAAAAAACCTCCCTAAAAAACAAACAAAGAGTCTTAGGAACTCCCATCAGATGTGGGGTAAGGTAAAGATAAAATGACAAGAATTAGTTCTCAAATTAAATAATGTATTGATTCATTCTCACTTCTGTTAGTAAAGATTTCACAAAATGAGGCCAAGAATGAGGAAAAAACATTATATAAATCCAAATAGTGAACATATTTCATTTAATGTTTACCTTTTTTTGTGAGAGAAATTTTTGCTATAAGGCATGTGGGCTTGACGGAGAGATAGAAAGCAATAATTCACCCTATTGGGATGGTCACACTGCAATCCCTTTTCCTTCATTCCCCTCTTGGGACTTTGGGCACACACATGTGCCTGGCATGAGTTTCCAGTCACCAGTCCAGGACTTGAACCACCCTTGGCCACATGGGAGTCCAGCACCCCAACCACTATGCCACCTGCTGGCCCAATAACTACCTTCTTAAGGTTGACAAGTTATTAGATCATTAGGATGAAGATGTTCAAAATACACAACAACCCCAGAGAAAGGTGAGCTAAAGTCTATTTTCGAAGCCTTTCTGCCATGCTAAAGAGGGAAATAAAATGTCATGTTGCTCTCAGGGTAGGGATAAGAGGTTTGAGGGGGTTGAGAACCCATTTGAATAGACTAGGAGTGATGATGGGGTACTGAATTAGCTGATGATAATAATCAGGAATAGTAGGAAGCAACTCTAGAAAGAAACAGATCATAACTTCAGGAAAACCTACATATTTGGAGAGAGCCAGGAAGCAAGGAGAATGGCATCTCTGAGCTAATGCATTGCTATGCTGGTGCCAGCACTAAATGCAAAAGTACCAAGCTGGGCATGGAAGTGGAGAGGAAATTAGCGTGTTTATGTTGGTGCATGTGCAGTTTAGTGTATCTGTGGGATAGTAAGATGGGAGACTCTAGCAGGCTTAGATCATAGTTCCAACTTCAACACATGGCCTCCTGGGACTGGACAATTCTTTGTTGTGTGGTTGTCCTTCACATGGTAAGATGTTTAGCAGCTTCCCTAGACTCTACCCAGTGGATTTCAGGAGAACCCCTCCCAGCCATGACAAAATAAATGTCTCCAGACATGCCAAATGCTCCTGAGGAGGAAAAATCACCCCCAGTTGAGAACTGCATTCTAGCTCTTGGGGAAAAGTCCTGGTAGGATTTCCTGAGCTTCATCATCTAGGCAATAGCCAAAGTGCTGGAAGTAGATGGCATCACTAGGTGGGAGCCTGTAGCATAAACAGGATGTTGACGTTTAAGAGGAAAAGCTGCCAGCAAAAATGACACGCCATGAACAAAGTGGTAGAGAAGACCCACAATGACATGTGTCAGAGGGCTGAGGGAAAACTTATGTTGAAGAAGATAGAAGGACAACCCTATGACGCAGTGGTAAAGCACCACACAAAGGAATTTGGGTTCCACGTGGCTGATCAGAATTTGAGTCTTGGATACTTTGGCTTAAAAACATGACAGGTGCACCTGCATGTGCTGGGGATCCTGAGGGGACAAAGAATTGGAGGAAAACGATTGTGGCATGATCAGGTCCTGCTGAGGAATTTATATTCATTCATTCCTTCATATATTCATCCTGTCCCTCTCTCTCTCTCTCTCGTTCTTTCTCTCTCTCTCCCCATTCTTCCCTTTGCTCCGTCTCTTGCACACCATGTGTGCCCTCTGGCATTAAAAAAAAAAA